AAACCATTCTATGATTCTATGGGGTTTGCTCTTTTCCCTTCTGTGGTTTGGAAGAACTTTTCTATTGCACACAGTGACAGAGCTGCAAAACTCGGTGGAGGTACAGGATGAATTGCAGTTGTGGAGGCGCTTTGAGGGCCTCGCAAATCTCTGCTACCATCCTGGACTAGATACCTTGGACAGGAAGGGATTCTGATTCTTGTGTATCGTAGTTCATAGAAGCTTTGAAAACTGCTGCTAAGGTGCGTTTGTAGCTGTGGGTTTGGCCTTGTTCTGCCAAATGTGACTCTAATTGATTGCACTGCATCTTTCCCCTCCCTCCTGTTAGGCTCGCTCTCGGCTCGGTACAAATGCAGACTAGTCTGTTTGCTGTTAGTGAGGTAGAGCTGTGGTTTACCACGTCTGTACGAAGCTGGAATACCTGTAACTGGCTGGTGGTCACCTGTTCTGGTCGGAAATGCACTAATAATGACCACCCACAGTCACAGGGGCTGGGCCTTCCACAGCGCTCCCGTCTGAATGCGATGTTTAAAATCCCACTGCGTGCCTCCTTTTAGGAACAGTTCCTTGTCACGCCATGCCTGCCACTGACCTCTGTGGGGTCACGGCCAGTCAACAGGCCTGGAAAAGCTGACAGAGCAGCTCCGGTAGCATTGGCAAACGAGCAGCTGCCAGGGGGCTGGAGCTCCAACCTCCCAATGTAGGGCTTGATCCGTGCGCTCGTAACTAGTGTTCCTGTCGCCCCACTGCTTACCTTGGCTGGGAGAGCCACAGAGCAGACCTATAATTAGCCTAATTGGCCACTGGATGTCAGTGTCTTGCCACAGAAACGGAACTGCAAGCCGCCTGGCTTTTCGGGTCGCGGAGACCGTGGTGGTTCAGGCAGATTTCCCGCTCCCCGCACCCAGCCATCGCTTCAGTCATCAAATACCGATTGTGTCCCCCACCCAACCAAGATCTTCCGAAACAGGGCTTGAGGCAGTACCTGTGTGCTCTCTGAATGGCCCAGGGAACTCGGGAAATTTCTCCTGGAGTCACGGTAAGGTATGCTGCTGAGGAGATTAGAAATAATGGGAAAATCACAGTTGGAGGCATCGCGAAGTTGATTTAGAGCAGTTTGCATATGTACACAGAATTTGTTTGCTTGAGTGCTACCTCCCGTTTTAACCGAGTAAAATCTTGTCCCACACAGCACCATTTTTCCTGGAGATGTTGCGAGTTAAAAGCAGAGAGACACCAGCTCTCTGTTACCGAAAAAGAGAGAGAAAAGGAGAGTAACAGTAGAGCAAGAGGGGATGTAAGACCCTCCAGCCCTATGGCCTCGTGCGGTTTTAATCATGCATCAGCGTGTGTGAGGGCATTTTCCATGGCCTCTTAGTAAATCCGAAGTTTTGCAGGACCTAAAACAGGGAAGGTTTCCCTTTTGGGTAGCACAGGGTAGTGGGTGCAGGGAGCCACAGCTGTCACTGCCCCACACCTCCGGGGAGGTGTGGGGCACGAGGTCTGGGAATGCTCTGCTATATAGAAAATTTCAGGTGCTAAGGACTGTTAGATGGGGTGTTTTGGGCTGTTCTCCTAAATTTAGCAGCCTAATGCTGCTGAGTGCAATTTAGGGTTTTAAAAATTCACTTGTTACATTGAAGGTTTCTTTTCTCTGGAACCAAATAAAGCCCAGCTTGCAAAGGAGTAAGGGTTAGCTTTGTACATCCCTTCGGACCAGCGACTGCAGAAGCTGGATACCAACCCAAAGGAAACTAACCGAATTGCCTAATACCCTGTGCCCAGCTCAGCTGTGATTGAAGTCAGCAGTAGACCTGAAATTATCATTCTGGGGGGAAAAAAACCCTAGGCAGAGAGTACGTTCCTTCCTATAAGCGCGCTGAAAAACATCTTTCGGAAATAACTTTCAGAGGCAGTTTTCTACATGAAACATACACTGCCTATGCTAAAAATGTGCATTAACAAACAGTATATTCAGCAGATTGAGACTGCCTTGCAATTTTCAACATGTGCTTAAACTGTGTTTATTGTTAGCATCGTAGTGGAAGGCTGAACAAATCAGTTAATTAAAGATATTGGTCGTTCGGGGGCTTTTTTGTTTGTGCTGTTCTTTCCTTTGTGAGCTGTGCGAGTACATGCAGGCACAGAGAAGCCAGACTGGAAAAAGCAGGTTTTCCCCTTGAGCAGGAGTTATTCTAGCTCTTTCCGAGTTTGGCACCGCTTGATTTCCTTGGTCCTGGGATCATGACACTAACCAGTTTTCAGTTTGACGGTTTTCCTTTGTGTCCCTTCAGTACTGTTACTGAGCAATGTGACATTCCTAACTTTCCGCTTGTTCTTTAGCGTGTGTTACAAACTAAACAATGCCAGTCATTCGTTTGTAGAGAGCATCACGGGAACGCTATGCCGCCCTCTGTTAAGGATAACAGCGGCAGCCATGGCTCTCCGATCAGTGGGAAGCTGGAAGGCATCTTCTTCAGCTGCAACACTGAGTTTAACACTGGGAAGCCACCACAAGATTCACCATATGGAAGATACAGGTTTGAGATTGCAGCTGAAAAACTCTTCAACCCAAATACTAACTTGTACTTTGGAGACTTCTACTGCATGTACACAGCCTACCACTACGTCATCCTGGTTATCGCCCCCCTCGGATCGCCCGGAGACGAGTTCTGTAAGCAGCGCCTTCCTCAGCTAAATATAAAAGATAATAAATTTCTGACCTGCGATGAGGAAGATGGTGTCATGGTTTACCATCACGCCCAGGATGTTATTTTGGAAGTAATTTACACTGATCCTGTGGATCTCTCCCTCGGCACAGTTGCAGAAATTACCGGTCACCAACTCATGAGCTTGTCTACTGCAAACGCAAAGAAAGATCCCAGCTGCAAGACCTGCAATATCAGTGTTGGCCGTTAAAACTCCCCTCGTGACTTAGGAGCCTTGGAACCTCTGTTGCCCATCTCCACAGTCAGACGTTTTTGTCGGAAGCATGCCCACGCCGCTGCCACCAAAAGCAAACACGCGTCTCCAGAATCTCCAATAGCCTTTTTAGTATTTCTTCTCTCCCTCTTTCCCCGATGCTTTACATGATTAGAAGTCCTGGATTTCTTTCTGGCAACCGTTTATACCTAGATGCTGCAAAAATTTTCTGTTTCTTGCCAAACGTAACAAAAACCTATATAAACTGCTTTAGCAAAATAAAAATAACGGCTTCTAAATGGTGTTTAAATATGCATTCGTTTTAACTACTGAACGAATACTGGGGTAACTCCAAACAGCATGAAAGGTTGTAATTGCAGCATGATTTAAATTTCAGAGCCTAGACATGTCAGCACTTCCAACGTGTTGTTTGACAGTGTTATTTATGTTATTTATATTAGCTAACTGAAAACAGAAACTGTGTCTCGACATAATAAATATAATAGAAAAATATTTTATTTGTACTGTTGTATAAAATATTATACAATCATATAGAATATATAGATTACATTTTAATATCAATTGTATACATGTCATGAAATCATTTTCCCTTATCAAAGATGTAGTTTGTAAACTTCAAATAGCTCTGTATCTGTTCCTGTTGCTCTAGATGACTTTAATTAAAACAGATTTACGAAGGAGACCACTTCTGATTCATAAAAGTTAAGTTACAAATTATTAAGTCAGTACACTGAAACGACAAACCTCAGAAATAAAAAATTCCTTTTTTAGCGTTCGTGCTTCCTCCTCCGAACTCCTTGAAAGCGTGTACCTCCTCAGAGCCATGCCGAGCCGCTGCACGCAGGAGGAGTACCGACAGGGTTGGTACGTAACAGGCTTCAAAAAATGAAAACCTTCTTACCCAGATAGCAAAGAGGTTGCTTTATACTAGGTGGGGTCAGTACAGAATGACAGTCAAAGCAAAACACTAAAAGTGATTCAACTTATTCAAGTCCTGGGGTTTGGGTGGGGTTTTTTTTAATTTCTTCCTTCTTTTATATCTGGGCGAGGTATTTCCCAGACTCCCTGCTTTTCATTTCCAGTACAAAACCCACTGCTAATCTTTCTGTTAATAGTCTGTTTTTCACACAAACTGTTTATCACAAATAGTGAAAAGAAATCTCCTTAATATTACAAAGCATGGTGCTCTCTAAAAGTTAAGAAAAATGCATAATTCCAAAAAATATCTTTTATCATCTTATTTTTAGTAAACAGGAAGTTTAGCATTCCTCATCAGATAACTGTGACACCCACTTATATACCGCGTACTTTATCTATCCAAAATATCTGAGCACAACGCAGTGTTCTAGTCTCGCTTTAACTTACACGTGGCAATGCAGAACACGAGAGCTACGCTGGCGATTTACAAAGTGCATGCGTCGGAACGAGCTTTGGTAGTTAGAGAAGCAAATGTGTTGGCGTCAGGCAAAACAAAGTGCAAAGGTTAATACAGAAATAAAAAATAGCACATTGTTGATCTATCATCTACTGAATCTGAAGTACCATGAGCCAGGTCCTGTGAACCATAGTGAAAAGGACAGTACATTTCTTCTGTCTCTTCCCGCTAAACCGTCTCTGTTTCATTTTGCCAGACACTCCCTCTGATTTCTAAACCACCACCTGATCATTCCATTTGGCAGTCACGTTTTGTCCTTTTATTTTTGCATAGGCAGCATCACTCTGCTCTCCTCCCAGGATTTTAGACCAAATCTTGGCACTGGTTCTTTGCAGGCACCTACCTTTGAAGCTACTGGAATTGATGGGCGACTCTGTCTTGAGAGAGACAGCACGTCCACCAGTTTTGTCCTTCATTTGCTTTAAGTTGATGTTTCCCTTATCTGGTGCATCAGCACACTGAGAACTGACATGAATAGTTAATTGTAGTGAGTGTTAATTCTGGAAAGAAATGTGTGGAACGTTATCCTGTGCTAAGATGTACTAAAAACCTGGAGAGCGTTTCCTCACACTTTTTAAAACTAAGAACAGACCCAGCTGAGGATCTACAATACTTCAATGTCCTTTTAATTTCTAACATTCTCACAGTGCACTTCAAGGCTTTTTCAAAAGGAAAAAAAATATATACTATAGTCCACTCACCCGTGCTTAACATCCTTGCATATTGCTGTCCTCGCTCATCCCAGCTAGTGTCACTGGTAAAGTGCATCACGACTCGCAGTGTGTCGAGTAATTGTGCAGCAGACCAAGACCTCTACGTTTACTTCCTCTTTTTTCATTACCTATTCAGTCGCTTGGTTTTTTGCTAGAGAACAGTATCACGGCATTGCATTCCCTTCAAATCGTTTTGGAGACATCGTGCTTACTGATGAGAACCTCCAAGAGCCTGATTTTGGCTTTTGTGTGCTTGTATTCCGAATATTCCTCAGCCATTGGCACCCGATCTTCTTTCTGAGGACTCCTATGAAAAGCAAATAAAAGTGCCATCACTTTTATGACTAAGAGGAGGAGCAGTCTTTAAAATTATTGCTGCAACAACTAATGAGAAAAAAAAAAATCCAACCCAATCCTAACTGTAGGTGACTGAAGATAAAAGCACTCCTATACAGAAATGAAATAATAGTATTTAAAATCCTGAATTTTCATATTCCAGGTGATTTTATTTCCTCTCAGCTCTGCTGGCACAACTACTTCATTCTCAATTATGCAGAAACATTATTGAAAGTGCTTTGAAAACTGTTACCAGAATGCTACCTGCCAAGGTTCTCCGCAGTTCTCAGCAACCAGGTTTGCTGAATGGAGGAGGATAAACAGAGCAAAAAATAGCCAGTATTTATCTGCGACTGGAAGAAACTGTGGCTTCTGGTTTTAAAGCTGCCCTTTAAAAAAGGCCCAACTGCCAGGTGCAATCCCTGCAGGCTGACATCCTTGGAAACACTCTTCAGCAGCCTCCCTTCAGCTCAGGGGAGGTCCTGTGCTGAGGTGGGGGTTGTACCCGTTGCAGGCATGTCCCAGAAGATCCCCAGATCCAGGTCCTCCTCAGGCATGCCCACATCCTGGAGGAACTAAGCAGGGAGATGGACATCTCCACAGAGACCAGGCACCTCCATGGGATCTTCCAGTCCCCAGCTGCAGCTTCTTTGGCCTCTTCACCTACGAGTACCCCCCCGCAGAAACGCCGCCACAAAGGAGCCCGAAGGGAGGAGGCGTGGGCTTTTGCTGAGCTGGCTGCTTACCTTCCTGTCTGTTTGTAGAACTGTTCCTCAAACTCTCTCAGAGCTTTGCGAAGCCTTTTCTTATCTGCTCGTGTTTCCCGGAGATGTTCAAGCAGAACCGGCCTGTGAAACAGAGACAACGTGAAACCCCCAAGGCCTTGGAAGCACTGCAAAAGCTGTGCCTTTGGGGAATAAGCGGCCTAAGGCAGGCGCTGATCTCAGTGCCCCAAGACATTCCACCGTGGCCCTCCAACTACAGACATAACCGGCTGTACCACCACACACGACAAAAGTTACGCTCCTTCCCCTTGACCACTATTCTCACCCTTCTAATAAAGTGAAGGCAGGGACTGTGCAGTCAGCACGGGAGAGGAAGCTTTCAGGACGGAGCCTTGCTAGTGGTCTCAATTCTGTGTGGCATTAATGGTGTTGACAGGGCTCAGCATCTCACAGGAAATGCTTTGCATCTCTGCAACTGAATTAGTAAAGGCAAAATCTAATCCCCAGTCCTAAAAGCAGCTGTTGCCAAACATTAGAGTGATGCAGTAGAAATGCTAGTGGTACCCAGAATCAACATTTCTGGAGATCATATTTTAGCTGGTATTTGGAGAACAAGGCTTTTAAGTCGAGAAAGAATTCTGCTATGACATGCCAGCTGGTACTTTTTTTTTCCATAATAAAAAAAAGCAGCTCAGAAATATCCTCACAGCATTTGTGAGCAAACTACTGCATACATAGCTGAGTTACACAGAAAACCAGACCATCACTATTTACTCTCAGTGTTGGTAGAGCCTAATCAGCTAGGCCTCCCATGTGACCATGTACTGCCTGCCACTCAGCTCAGCTGTTGCTCTCTGTGCCTCTGGCATTTTTACACCGCTCACACGATCAAACCCAGGACACAGACAGCGGAGCAGACTGGCCGAACTGTGCTGTGTTTTATGACCGGTTTGTAAGACCATGAGTAGTTAGATGCAGCAGTTATAGGTGGGTCTGCACAGCTTCACTGTGCATTGCGCTGTATCTACCACCCTGTACGTGTAGTTATTTCTCCTCTCTGCTTCCAACCCTCCACCTTTCTCTGCATGGACTTCAGTAGTTTTTTTGACTGAACCGTTCAAGCCACAGGTATGCTGCCCAAACAACAACTATTCTCTGCCTCTTTTCTCCCGTAAGAAAACCCTGGATCACTTCTTTGGTACAGAATATTCCCATGCAGTAAGCAGAGAGCATGTTTCATGTACAAAGACTACATGAAATATTTTAAAACGGTCAAGAAAAAGAAAAAAAGACAGAACTTACATTGTTGCCTCGTGTAAATTGGACATCGACAAAGCTGTTTGCCTGAAAACTTTCTTTTCGTCCAGAGGTGAAACATAGGCGGGCTCACTCTCCTCCTGGGAGTAACACAGGTGCTCTTCGACAGGGAGGCAGGATATTGGACCGGATGATAACTCGTGGCTGCTTTGAGAATGGCCTTCATCTGAGTCTTCCTCCTCCTGCTTGTAAAATGTAAAGCATTATTAAATTAGTTGTTTACATTAAAAGGCGAAGAATTAATAGGGTGACAATGTAAAGAATGAGGCTCTAACTTCCTGGAAGCATTCACTGAACACACTACACACATTGAAAGCTTTACCCAGGTCTACCCAAGCCTGTTCAGGGGCAGTCTCGTGGGGCCCCCTGAGTTACCGTGTGTTGTCCACCGTGACTCCATAGGTCACAAGTTGGCCTTGCTTCTGAGTATCTCCAGCCTGCAATTTATTTCTGTTTAATCAAAAGCCTGTGTAAGCAGCAAAGTTTTAAAGCACGTTCTGTATTTATGTAAGCAGTGCAGTCTCACTGGAACTTGTGCTCATCTTGCATATCATCTACCGTTTGTATTACGGCCAGGAATTCTGCCTGTAATGAGAGTTGGAGGTCGAGATTCCAAAGCTTTATAACTACAACTGTTAACTACCAAAACAGAGTGATGTCCTTGTCTTCCTCAGGTTCCCTCATCCTCAGAAGAAAGGCTGAGCTTTTGAAACTAAGGCTTAAACATAAAAACTCCATGGAGCAAAGCTCCTAAGTAAGACAAGGGAATTTGCAGTTTCAAATCAAACACAGAATTTAGTGTTTTCTTGACAATAAGTATAAATTCTTTCCAACTTACAATTGTTGTGATCAAAGATGGAGCTGCGAGAAGTTTCTTGATAATTCTGTATCTGTCGTAAAGTGGTTTCATCAGGCTCTTTTCTTGCTTAGTTACCTAAAGAGAAATCACAGAAAAATATACCCCTCTAAAATAAAAAATAAATATATAAATTTCTCATTTGCCCCTGTAAAGCTGAGAATGGTGTCAGAAGAGCGTGGCCTGACATGTATTTTGCTTCGTTACATGTTCCATGGCAACTGTGCTTTAATCCATACAATTTCTAAAAAGGAAAATGGTAATCTATTTTCTAATGGGAAATACCCAATGCAGCTTCCTCAT